CAGTCCAGCCATGCTCAGTCCTCTTCCGATCTTCTGCCCACGAGAATATTTAATAACAAGGTATACTCTTAAAAAGAAGAAGAGGACGAAGAAGAAGAATAAATCTTTATAAGAAGACTGCAGAGCTCAAGAGCAGTGTTAAGTGTAGACAGGAATATGCTCTGCTTAATTGGCAGGAGGAATGCACTCTGCTTTCTGTACGCACAGTATGCTGAAGCATTTCTCCCCACCATAACTCACAAAAACACTGGTTCCAATTTTGCATTATACGACACGTGTGAGTTTCACAGCAGCCAGCAACCCCTGTCAGCTGCCCACCACCTCCCTTATCTCCTCTGCCCCGTCTTGCTTAGTGCTAGGTGACATCCGCAAATTCCGGGGAACAGCTCTGCTCGCAGCAGCCGCTTGCCCCGTGAACACACAGCGTCACCCTCGAAGGAGTGCGGGCAAGGAAGGATCCCCCCGGGGTCACTGCGCCGGAGAGCGCACACCGGGGGGCGCTGCGAGCCCGCAGCACAGCACCGGGGGTCGGGCAGGAGGGGAGACGGGCAGCGGGGCAGAAGGGCCGGAGATGGAATGCGGGACAGCTCGCTCGCCCCCGGTACAAGGAGCCGGGCACTGATGCAAGGAACACCCGGGTATGGTTGAGCGCAGCCGCCTGTCCCAGAGGGCTGACGACAAAATAAAAAAACAAATTCCCATCGCCCACCTTCCAAAGGAAATCTGAGTGGCGTTCCTACTCCCCGACAGCAAAAACTGTTCCAAAGGCGCTTCCCGGCCCCGCCCATGCTGCGTTCCTTCTCCACCCGGGGACGACGTTTCCGTGTCACCTCTGCTCACAGCGTTTGTTCCTCCTGCCCCATCCCGCAGCACTGCGCACTGGAGCAGTCGGCTTTTGCACCTGCGAACGCTCCACGGCAGCGTTTTGCTTTTCGCAGACTGAAAGCCTGGAATGTCGCAGTGCTGAGCCGCAGGTGACTCCCACGAGAGGTGCCCGTCGCCCGTCGGCGGCAGCTGCAGCACTCCGAGCACAGAGCTCCAGGAGACTGTCCACTATCCGAAGAGTAAGGCAGATTCCTGGTTTGTTTCGAACTCCACAATTGTAAAATGGAGTTACCTCATTTAGAGTGCTCCAGTAAAGCTCCTATCACTTGTCACTATTTCCTTAATACCATTCTGAAGAAGGGAATAATTTCAAGCAGCAGTTAGAAAACTAGAGAACTGGAAACACAGGAATTGTCCTCAGCGACACAGGTTTTCTCCATGCACACTTTCCTGAGATTTAACAATTTCCCCATCCACTCAAGCCCAAGATAAATAGCTGCCTGGAAAAGTCACCACTCAAATAGTCAAAAACTCAGTGTTAAATCAGTTATATGCTTTTCTCCACATAAACACTGAGTATTTAATATATATACATCTTTAGAAAAATGAGCTGCAATGGAGCAAGCTGAGAAAACATTTGCTCTGAGAAAGGTGAGGCTGCTCCTATACAGCAAAAGGGGTCCTCTTACCACACTCTGTGGGAGTGTGCACAGCCATGCACCCAATCTGTTCACACCTTTTCCTGGCTCCTTCTTCCCATAGCTGAAGCAGAGGTCACTCCATAGAACGCAACTGGAGCATGGCAGAGTTTGGCAAGTGCCTACCTGTAAGCATTTGGACTGAAAGATCGGTTGTGCTGCATTCAGCACCTTTGCAGCTGGGAAGGGGCTGGGGCTGGATTGAGCACCACATTCACAAACTCAGGATGTGGTTTTTTACTTCTACAGCTGTAGGCTGGAGGCAAAGAAGAAGCCAGCAGCCCCTGGTCCCGGTTCAGGCTGGAAGTGGTGTGGAAGGCACCGAGCAGGGAGGAAGTGATGCTGTGAATAGCTCTGGCTGTGTGCATCTCCAGTCTCTGGTCTATTGAAAAGTTAAACAGGAAAATGACAATGAAAAGGCAGAATCATGGGAAAATGGGGCACAAAATTTGATAGACATTGCTATGAGCTTGAAGGGGAGAGACTTAAAAGGTCAGAGAGCAAACAGGAATGGCCACAATCACCAGCGGGTGGCTGGAAGGTACAATGATGGACGCCAGTTTGACCCACAGGTCAGCAAACTGGTTTAGCTCTACCTTCATCTGCACAGAGCCAGACAAGTTCCCGGCTGCTATCAAACAGCTCAATGCCCTTATCTGGAGGGGTTTAGTAAAAGGAAATAAATGACCAAAAGGAGCTATTCAGTCCTCAAGTGCTGGGCTTTGCTGCTGAAAGAAAGAAAAAATGTGTGTTCTTACAGATCCCAGAGCAACACGGCAGCTCCTTCCCTGGAAGGATGAGTTTGCCACTGCTCCAAAACAGAGAATTGGGCTCCCAGCCGGTGGCATTTAGCAGCTGTTCCTTCAGAGGGGATATTGGAGAAGCAGCACTGAGGCCATCCGTCTGTTTCCTTTTCATTTGGTGCCCATAAGGAATAAAGTAGCAGGTAACACTGCTTCTCACTCCCACAGTGGGAATCTGGTGCTGGTACTTTGCTGCATTTCCATGACATTAAATTAATAACGATAATAGTAAAAAGAGGAAAAAATGCAGAGCAAACTGTTGCTTTGCTTTCGTAGAAAACTTTGCAAGCCCCCGATGGCTGCATCTGTAATGACACACATTCAGAATGCAGCTCAGAGAAACTCAAGCAGAGCAAATTCCGGCTCCAATGCACCTTAAAAATCTCTCCCAAGCCTTATAACACGCACAGCTCCCAAGTCCCAAATGCACTGGAGTCAAGCAGCCTGCATGCTTTTGCTCCATGTTTTAATGCTGCTCCGTAGGGCTGTCACAGGAACGTGCTTCCCTGTGTCTGCACAAAGATCTCTCTTCTATGCCAATTCCAGGCTCTAACCCCAATCTCTCAACACACCAATGGTGTGCAACACAAGGGGCCACGTTTCCCAAAGGGAATGACATATTCTCCCTGATAAGGTGCTAATGTAATGCTCTTGGGATTCACTGCAAAAACGCAAAGACAACGCTTCCCGATCAAGAAAGAGGTGGCAGGTTTAACCCCCCATCCCCTGCACTGCTGTTCCCAGCTCAGGCAGTGCTTTGGTAATGCCAGACACCCCACCCCAGCACCCCAACACCTCCCAACCCCACCGCCTGTCCCACTGCGGCTGCAGGAGTCACCATTCCACGTGGCACAGCTCTGCCCATGACCACCCAAACCTGGCTCCAAGTACAGAGCTGCCAAGCTCTTTTTAAAGAAATAATTATCATTTGTATTCCCACATCATATCAGCCTTTCTCAACATGAGAAATAATTCTAAATTTTTTTTTTAATTAAAAATAGAAAAAAAGGTGAAAGCAGTGTTGATGCTTTTCCTTTAGCTTCCTTTTCTAGCGTGACAAGCAGAATGCCAGCACTCTCCTGGTGCTGCCCCTACAGTGGCACAGCCTACAGCGACATTCAGTTCATTGCGTTTCCCCTTTGGAAGAAACTCTGAGAACTGTGTGTGCCATAGGGCTCAGAGCACAGCGCTGCCCATGATGGTGGAGTGAGAAAGAAGGAAAGCAAAGAGCTGCCTGGGATAGAATGTTTGCTCTGGAGTTTATTAATACCATTTAAAATATTACAGATAAAAATCAATTACATTTCATGCATTTAAAATGCAAATCTAAAATGTTCCAGCGAAGGGCTTTCCATTTCAATGTGAAATATCCAAATTATTTCAACATTACAATGAGACAATTAGTTTGCAACAGGGCAAACCGCTAATGTGGTGTCGGGAGTGTTTATTAACATTTATCAATATTATTTTCAGGAAATACACATAGGCCAACGTTAGTTCAGTTTCACTCGGACAGTTTATTAATACATGGGTCGTGGCAAACCCACTTCAGGAACTAGAGGAGAACTCTCACTGTGACTATACCTGAACTGCCAGCAAATGCAAATAAGTACATGCTCCATTAAATTAAATGTCATTCAACATTTATCAAATATTGTTTGCTTAATTACAGTTGTATGCCTACCTAAATTAATATTCAAGCAAAACCTATATCCTGAAGTGCGCTTTGATGGACGCTTCAGGAAACGAGTCCAGAAATAAAACTGAGGAGGGCTGCACTGGTAATGCTTTCTTGTGGCAGGAAAAGAAATATTTAGAAAAATAAAATAAAATAAAAACTGAAAAAAAAAATGCTCGAGTGTACTTCAATATATTTCCAAATATTTACTGGTAGTAATGTACAAGAAAAATACTATACAAAATCGTCTCCTGGACAACTGCACCTCACACCGATACGTTGGTGGAGTCATTGTTACTAATCTAGAACGATTCCCCATGGTACAAACCTAGAGGTTCTGATGTATTTTACAAATATTCCACTTTCCTCTTCTCCCCCCCCACCCCAGCCTCTCTCTTTTTGGCATTTGAACCGCAGCTCCGCTCACAACCAACGGTGCTTCTTTATTTCTATGGGGTTTAAAAATAGGGGACTTGAAACCTAATTATTGCCAGCGGGTTTCGTGATTCCCTCTCAAGCGGGAATGATCCAAATGCGCCGGAAAACGCAAAAACATTTGGATGTGGGGAGGTAAACGACTGAAAGGGGGAAAAAAAAAATAAAAAGAGGGGAGAGCACCGTGTCTCAGCGGTCTCCGGGAGCAAAAGGGCTTTTGGCAATCACCGAGACGAGGGCGGTCCCGACGGGAGGGAGAACCAACGGCGGGCGCTGCTCTCGCAGCCCGGCACGGAGCCCCTGCCCCGGGAAGCGCCCGACCGCGGACCCGGGACGCCGCTCCCGGACGGAAGTGCTGCGGTTTCCAGCGGGAGAAACGTGGCTTTTCCCACGGTGCGACCCGACGGGGGGTCCCTAAGGGACGGGGAGGGCAGGGGAGGCGGCCCCCGGCGGAGCTCCGCCGCCCGCCCGGTGCGGTGCGGGGCCGGAGCGCGCTCCCCACGGGGCCGCGCGGGTACTTACGTGTCCGCGTCCCCTGCGCGGCGCTGCGCGGCGCCGCCGTCACTCGAGGCCGTTGCGGTGGCCGGGCTCGGGGGGCGGCAGCAGCTCCGGAGAGTGGCAGGGCGGGCTGCCGGCCGCGCTGTGCTCGCTGTCGGTGTCGCTGCCCTTCTTGCCGCCGGGGCCGGGACCGGGACCGCCGCCGCCGGGTCCCCCGGCGCCGCCGGGGCCGCTGTGGGTCTTGACGTGTTTGCTGAGGTGGTCGCTGCGCATGAAGCGCTTGTTGCAGACGGGGCAGGCGAAGCGCTTCTCGCCCGTGTGGGTCCGCAGGTGCCGCTGCAGCTCGTCGGAGCGGGTGAAGCGCTTGCCGCAGAACAGCCAGTTGCAGACGAAGGGCCGCTCGCCCGTGTGCCAGCGAAGGTGCGCCTTCAGGTGCGACGTCTTGCCGTACACCTTGCCGCAGCCCGGGATGTGGCAGCTGTGCAGCCCCTTGCGCCGCAGGCTGGCCCCCGCCGGCCCCAGCCGCTCGGCCTCCTGGCAGTTGGGGCAGTCGCAGGTGGCACGGCCAGAGTAGCGACGGGCGGAGGAGCGCGGCGAGGCGGAGAGCGGCGCGGCGGGGCCGCCGCCCAGCATGGAACCCCCGGCGCCGGCCAGCGGCGAGGGGGCCGAGTCCGGATAGGAGCCGGGCAGCACCGGCTTAAATCCGTCCATGAGGTGCTGCCCGGCGGGGCTGAGGAGGTGCGAGGAGGCGCCGCCGCCGAAGGCCGAGTGCCCGAGGCCCGAGTAATCCGAGTTGTAGCCGCCCAGTGGCGAGTGCAGCGAGGACTGGAGGCCGCCGGCCGCGGGGTGCAGCGAGCCGGGCAGCGCGGCCGCCCCGTTGGGGCTCTGCACGTCGATCCAACCCGCGCCTACGTCCCACCAGCTGGAGGCGCCTGCCGAGCCCACCTCGCCGGCCGCCAGCCCCGGGTGCGAGGGCTTGAACCACGACTCGTAGGGGTGCGCCATGCCCACCCGCGGGTAGATGCCCTGCAGCCCCTCCACCGACGCGTGCACCTTGGAGATGAAGACGGGCTGGTGAGCCGCCTCCTGCCCCGCCGCCCCGCCGCCGCCGCCTCCCCCGCCGCCGCCGCCGCCGGCGCTGCCCGGCGCCTGGAACACGGAGTAGTCGTTGGCGAAGGGCGAGCTGGCGGCCGCCGCGCCGCTGGAGGTCAGCGAAAACGCGCTGGAGCCCGGAGAGCCGCCGCAGCTGAACGAGTCCGAGACGAGGGCGGCCGCCGCCGCCGCCGCCGCCGCTGCCGCCGCCGAGGAGCCGTTCCGCGCCGAGCCCGCCACGCCGAAGCCCGGGAGGCCGGAGCCCACGGCACCGCAGCTGCCTGCCGAGGCCGAAGAGGAGGAGGAGGAGCGTTTCCAGGGGTGGAAGCCTTTGCCGAAGGAGGACGCGCTGTCCGAGAGGGTGGACGGCGAGGGGCTGGGGCTGCCGATCTTGTTGCAGGTCGCGGCGAGCATGGCCAGCGGCGTGGAGCCAACCCGCGGTTCCTCCTGCGGGCACAGAGGGGACGGGGGCGTCCCGCCGGCGTCAGGCACCGAGCGGCACCGCCACCGCCATCCGCCCGCCCGCCCGCCGCCCCGGCCCGGCCCTGAGTCCCGCGGATCCGCTGCCGGTCCTCCTGCCCCGAGAGCTCGGGGTAAAGGGTGGGGGGGGTGGAAGTTGCTTCTGGTGCCGCAGCTTAAAAGCTGCCACCAGCCCGGCGGCAGCGTTCTGCCGTTCCCTTCCCCGGGACCCGGCGCTTCCCGATCCTCGGGGCAGATGGAGTGGTTCGTAAGTAGTGAAGTGCCGGGTTATCAAATAAATAATTTTAAAAAATAAATAAATTGAAAAGGCTTCCTTAAAGAGCCTCACGTACCAACCGTAACTAAATATATACATAAATTTTACATCTGTACGTATACACAAGTTGAACATACCTGCTGGACACGGCGGGCTGTGTTATTTTAAAGGGAAATAAAAAGCCACACTCGGTTGCAAATTAGAAACTGCGCCCGACAGAAGCGGCGGTGCCGGGGTTTCCCTTCCAACAGCCACATGTGCGGAGAAAGGCCGCGGTGCGGGCGCAGCGCGCAGCCCGGGCGCTGGGGGCTGTTCCTACAAATGCCCTTAAACCTTTTCCTGCGCGCTGCAAAGTGACTCTGCCCCTTTTCCCCCTCTCGCTCTTTCTTTTCTCCGAAACTCACTTGTACTTAAGTTTAAAAAAAAAAAAAAAAGAAAGAAAAGAAAAAGAAAAAGAAAAGAAAAAAAAGAAAGGGAGAAAAAAAAAAAAAAAAGGCTCAATAGAGGAGACTGATAGCCCCGGTCAAGACAGGGGTTATTTTAACCCCCTCCAATCGACAATAAAAAGAAACTAATTAAACCAGCAAGAGAAAAAATCCTTAGACTCACCCCTAGAAGTGAAGTTGCCATCACACAAAAGTGCCCTCCTCTCAGAGGATCTTTTTTATATTGATAAATCAGAGGCAGTGTTTTTTTAGAGGTGTGCAATACAATGCTCAGTTCCGCCCATTCCACCACAATTGTAGCTCCCTCGCCGGCTTTGAAGTGCCGCTGAGCCGCCGCCAGCCAATCCCCGGCCCCGCCGCGCCGCTCGCCGACGTGACTGCGTGAGGTCATCAGCGCCGTCGAGCACGGCCCGGCCCGGCTCGACTCTGCCCGGTTCGATTCGGCGCGGCGCGGTTCGGCTCGGTTCGGTTCGCCCCGGCTCGGTCCGGTCCCGCGGCCGGAGCGGTTCGCCCCGCGTGGGGCCCCGACGGAGCGAACGCCGCCCCTCGCCCCGCAGCCCCGGGAAGGGCGGCCCTGAGCCGTCCTCGCTCGGGCTGGTTGGTCCCGGCCGTCCCTTCCCACCCCTTCGAGGTGTGAGCGGGGCTGCTTGGATCCGTTCACATTTCTGTACCATCGCAGCGGAGGCAGAGCGCGGAATCATTGTTCCTCCGATTTCTCCTCACCGTCCTCCCTCTCCCGTTCCCCCCCGTCCGCAGCTCCGGGCCGGGCTCCCCGTGCACCCCCACAACCGAGGCTGCCCCCGGCCCGGCCCGTGATCTCTAGTAGAGAACCCCGCGGTTCGTTCGCATCGTGGGGGCAGATATCCCTTCCCCTCGAGCGGTTCCGAGAGGATATCGACTGTACATCATATCTATTGATCGGGGGGTACCGTACATTATCATACTTTGAAGCAAGAGCGAAGTAAATTAATGAACTGCTTTCTTTCTCTGAAGGCTGACGGTTACCATAAATGTCGCGTTTCTCTCTGACTGATTTTCGCCTGTTGAGAAGGCGTGACAGGGCCAGCCCAGGAGGAGGAAGGGGTGGGGGAAGGAGGGAACTCCGTTTAACAAATAAAAAAGAATTAACTTCATTGCTTTGGTCTCCTTCTATAATGATATTCATTTTACAGACCTAATGCACACTTGTTTAAATTTCGGGTTTAATTTAATCAATACTATCACCCGCAAAGGGGGGAAGAACATTTCCCGGAGATACTCCCTTGCATGAATGCTTATTAACTTTTTACCTCCGCTTCCTTTATCTGCTGGAGGTGGGAAGGAACTATTAAGACATAGATCAGAAAGCGTAAGAGCAAAACAAGCATCGCGAGCACTACATTTTAGAGGCACAGAAAATCCCATTTTGCGGCGTGCCGGGTTCTGCTTAGAGACCGACACGCGCCCCTTTCAGCCCCGGAGCGCGCAGGGTCGGCGCTGCTGATGGATCTCTCGAGTGGAGCCGCTCCGGGTGGCTCTTCCGTTCGGCTCCGCATTCTACCCGCACACGGCCGGCCGGAGGGGACGTGCCCTCGCTCGGGCTTTTCTGTGCTTGTTTTAAGGCTCGCTCCGGCTTTTTAATTTGGGGCTGAAAGTTGTAGATTTTCAGCGCGCTTTTCCTTTAAAAGCGCCGCTCTGGAAATAGTGAAAAAACTCGTTGTATGAATAGTCGTGGGAGTTTGTACGAGGGAGCTCGACACAGAGGGAAGAAAAAGGCAAATCCATCAGAACTGAGCAGAAATCACAGGAAGTGCTGTCAGTGGCATTCTCCTGCCGCTCCGAGTTTCACTGAAACTGGGAAATCGGCAGCTGCTGAACTTTGTGAGCGGTGAGCCGCTCCGCCGCCTTCCCCTGTGCGTCCATCTCTGCTGAGTGGGCGCAGGATTTAAGAAAGCGTAGGGTTTGGTTTGCATTGCCTTATTGACCACCGCACTTAAGGCTGCAGTCCATCAGCTTTGTGAAGCGGGGTTGGGGGGCGGGAGGGGAAACAAGCAGAAGTTTTCCCGAAATTAATTAAAACTTATTTTTTTTCCTTTCCGTTTGAAGTGTAATGTACGGGAGTAGATAGATGTTCGCGCTGTTTCTTGAAAACCTGTGGGATCCACTCTCAATAAAGCTACAATCTATTAGCATTCTGTATGCATCTGCAGCATAAATTTCATTTGAATTTCAAATTTAATAAACCAGCAGGTTTTTAATCATCCCTGGTTTTATTTGTTTGATATTAACATGCTTATTGACCGGGTCTGTTGACCAGTTTGATCATTACAGGACAGCAAAAAGTTAATTAAAACGACCACAGCTCCTTAATCATATCATCTGTCTCATCCGTGTCGCTCCCTTTATTACAGCCTATGATGGATAGTCTCCCAGATTAATTTCTCTGTTTCTTCGATTTGGACAACAGCTTTTGGGACCTAATTTACATCCCGGGAACAACTTGCCCAAGTCTACCGAACATCTTGTGCCTACAATATCCATTAGCAAGTGCCGAACTTGAGCCGCGCCGACAACCTCCGCGAACCCTTCGGGGTTGGGTTATGGGGGGGTTCCTCGAAGAAACCCCCCCCGGCTCTCTGCTCGCAGGGAGATGGATGGAGCCTCTTCCAGGGTCTGGTCCGCCCGCAGACAGCTTTGCGGGGTGGTGAGAGGTTCCTCTTTGGGGAAGGAGAGGTCTCGCTGCCTATTTGCAAAGGCAGAGCTGGAAGGATTGAAGTGCCCGCTGCCCACGCCGGATGGTGAATGTCACTATTAGGAGGCAGCACGGCATGTCCTGCGCGTGGTTACGCTTACACCGCCGGGTCGCCGCGTTCCGCCTCGGTCGGCACACGGCTCCTGGCCCCGTCCCGTGGGCTGCAGGGGGGAGCTCCTTCCCCGCGTCGCCCGGGCCGTGCTGCCCCGGAATCCGGGCCCCGCGGTGCCTCTGCACCTGGCATTGTCACCTGCGGCATTCCCTGGCCGAGGGGTGACAGCGAACCCCTAGCCGGGCTGGGGTGGGGATCACTACGTCAATGAAACCAAACGGCCGGAGAGGAGCGTGCGGTGCCGAGCGGGCAGTGGTGGTGGTTAACGCCGTTATTAACCATCGCTCACACCGCTGCGGTTCACCTGGGACGTTTCCCATTGTCCGGCTGCGTCGTTTCGTCGGACTGCAGCTGGCAAACGGGCACCGGCACCAGCGGACCTCATGTGTGCGCGGGTGCTGCGTTCATTGCAGCGCGGGGTTCCGAAGTTAATTCATCCGTCGTTGCAAAAGTATGTTCAGGTACTGCAACCCCCGCCCCGGCTCCGGGCGGCCTGGCGGCTCCTCGGGCTGCGGGCAAAGAGAGACGGGGCGCTTTGTGAGGGGCTTGGGAGGGAAGCACACGACAATCCCGCAATGTCCCCGTCACTCGATAGGCGAAAGCTCCGTGCACAAGTGTGCCTGCCTGGGGAGGAAAAGGCATCCACCTCTTTACACTGCCGCTGTGTTCCTCCATCCGCATCCCCCCCTTTCTCTCCCTTTTTCCTCCCATCCCAGTCCGCCCCCCCAGTATTTTATCTCCGTGCCCAGAGCTTCCCGGGATCTCCCATCAGTACCGGAGCAGCGGAGGGGACAGCGAGCACCGGGCGCTGCCACCCGCGGGCACTGCGCGCAGCCCCGCGCCCCGCTCTTGCTCCCAATAGATTTGTTTAAGGCGCGTTCTGCTTTTCTTATTATCCATCACTTTCTCCCAGGCGCCACTTACAGTTAAAAACTACTAAATTCTTCTCTTCGGTGGTATTGATTTCTTTTCATTCTGCTCCGTTAGGAGAGGAGGTAATGCTTCCAGATTACCCCGCGTCTCCTCCAGACGGTTGACAATTGCAATCGCAGTTTCGGGAAGATAAATGTTACTTTGGGAATTGTGTTTAATTACAAATAATCTGGGAGCCGCTCCGTGTCCGATGGTTTAACCACACATGTGCTCAAATCATTGTACGAGCAGTACAGGCGGGTGGCGATGTACAGTGACCGACTGAGAGATTGGAGCGCAGGCAGGGGCTCCCACTGGGCTGCATGAAGCAGGGTCGTGCCCCGAAATGCTGTTGCTCGTGTAAAGGTGTATATAATTGTGCATACAAATGCTCGTTCCCGTGTGCGTGTGCACGCGTATGTGTGGGTGTGTTTGGACACTTGCAAATACACGGTCTGCGAAAAATCAGTCTGCAGATAACACAGGAGAAAAGGAAAGCTTTCTACGAACGTATGTATGTATTGATTTCTATATTCTACCAACTACCAACAAAAAAGTGGCAATTTGGGAGAAAAAAATATATCAAAGTCACGCGTCATTTCTTGCTGCCGTTTGCGAAGTGCGAGAAGCCCCGCTGCTCCGAGCGAGCCGTACCTGCGGGTGAGCAGCAACGTCTGTCCGCGGCGATCACGCACTGAGAGCGCATCGCAGCCTCCTCTCGTGCGGAGCTCCCGCGATTTGACTCGAGAGACCCTAATATTGATATATTTACTGCTCCTCTTACAATGTACCAGCCACCTTTCCCTGTCGCTATTTGCAGAGCAATTAGGTGGCCCCTCGCTCCCCCACCCCGGCAGCTGATTAGCGGGCTGGGGCGGGAGGGGGGTGGCAGGAGGGCAGCGGGAAGGGGACAAGGTGGCGAGCAGGTTATTCCCTTCACCTGACCTGGCTGTAGGAGCGAGATGAGCAGCACTGAACAGATGTCCCCATTTAAGCCATTCTTTTCCCACATGCCCGCTGGATGCTGCCACGGCGCAGGAAGCTTGCTGCAGACCTGGCCCATTCCCGGCCATTATGGCCAAGTTATTCTGGACCAGTGAGCACGAACAAAATGGGCTTCAGATCGCGTGCTTTAGAATAATTCGATTCCGCGCCCCGGCAAAGCCCCCTCCCTCTATTTTTTTAAGTCTTGGGTGAGGGGGGGTGGGACGGACAGGGACGCGTTTCGGCTCCGATCGCGGGAGAACTTCTCAAAAGATCGTTAGCTCCTTCCTCCCCCGCTCTCTTCGGCAAATATGGTATAATTTACAGAGCAACTTAATAATCCGAGGGGCACCGCAGAAGCCCTTTGCGTTGTAAACCGCTTCTAATTACCTGCCAGAGCAATTAGCTGACTATCACGAAGAAATTAGATCGCTCAATGTAGCATAAATAATGCGAATAATTTTGTAAGGAGAATGGAAAGCGAGACCTGGTGTTTCTTTATAAGGAAATAACACCTCGTACTGTACGAACCCTACATGAACACATATTAATGTCTAGGCATGCACGGAAATGAATCCGAACATGAACCCTCTGGCTTAGATTCAGCACTTTCTTCATTTACATATGCGGGGTGAAAGTCGGCTTCCAGGCGTTTAGATACAGAGCTCTTCCAGATCACAGTAATTAACACATAGCGACTTCAATAGGAAAACCTGTTTTCCAGATGATTTTTACAATGCGGCTTTATGTCTCATTTGGCAGTTTAAATAGCTGGAGTTGTTTTCTGGCTGCATCTCCACTATCATCTGTTGAGCATATTTTGCCTAGAATACTGACCAAAACTTACAGGCAGAATTCTTTATCAAACAGATGACTGGGATGCTGCGTATGCAGCGTATGATTTCGGGAGTATTCTCTTCTCCTAGGGGTTAGTTTTTCGAGAAGATTATACGGAAATGCCCTTAAAAATCTGCTATTTAAAATTATATATATATATATATATTGCTGTATTTAGCCTTTGCACGAATAGCTGAATATATTATTTCAAAAGGAAAATGTTGTTTTCCAAATTCAAATTCACAGGTAACAGACACGCTGCAGAAATATAGGTTTGTAAGCGCTTAAGAACTCGGCTGTTAGATCACGGTCTTTGAGAGGCATTTCTGCACGCTGCTGGATCTACAGCTGTGGGATTCGGAAAGGAGGCTGTGCCCACGAACGGCGTGCAATGGAAGTGCCCCTACAGCCGAGCTTGGCTCAAGGGGAAGGAGTTTGCTCCTGCTGGACGGGAAGGTGCCAGGTCGCAGCGGAGCTGAGCGCAGCCCAAACTGAGGCTCGGAGGCACTGTGGGATTCTGCATAACTCGTTAGGAGTGCTCTGGGTTACGGAAAACAAAACTAATTAGGCTGGTCTTTGATAAATAGAAGCAGCAACACGTACAATGATTCTTTTTCAGGCATCTTCGAAGGAGGAAAAGAATCACTGTGCGATCAAATCTGCCATAGATTTTAGTGCTTTCTTTTCTCCTGTTCCTATGCTAGCAGAGCAGCTATGGAAGCAGGAATGTCCGGACCAGCATCCCGTCCCCAGACTGTCCCCGCAGAAGTCGCAGCGATAGCTGAATTCTGAGCTTCCCCGGGGCTGAACGGGACTGCTCAGCTGCTCCGCAGCCCCCGCGTAGCTGGCGGAATTGTACTGCATGTTTAACGATTCCTGCTCATCGGCTAATTAGAGACGGCTTTGAAGCTCCATTACCGGCAGCAAAATTATTGCGGTCAGTTTAGGCCAAATTCTGCAGTCCTTAATGGAGCGAAACTCCCATTGAAGTCAATGGGATAGAAGTCAATGGGCGTTGTGCTCTATTAAGGAGCAGAGAATGTGCTCCTTTGTGAGATCGAGATTAAAAATCGCTATCGATAAGGGGTCCGTTTAGGACGGTCACGCTCTGCGGGCGGGATCTGATGGGCGAGCTGAGAAGGGCCCGATCGCGGTTGAGCCCCGGGACCCCCCGGCAGGATGGGTGCGGAGGACATCAGTCCTCGGGCAGGAGGGGACAAAAGGGCTTCAAGGGGGGTCCTCCAAAGGAACCTTCTGCCCCCGAGCACTGGGGCGAGAGGCGTTGGGTTCGTTCCGCGGCCACGGTGCCGGTCCTGGAGCGATGCCCGCTCACACCCACGGGGTCGTTCCCGAGCCCGGCGCTGGGTACCGGCACTGCGAGCACACCGTGACCGAACCCTGCGAAGCCCACATACACGGACATCATTTGGATAGCAATACAGGGGCTGGGAAGTCTCTTTTCGAACTGTGACCACCCACTGCTATCAACGTGATTTGACAGTCAAATTAGGAGCGGGTTTAAGTTGCTGCTTTTGACTGACTCTTGAACTCTGAAACGACTTTTGATTGAGCATTATACAGTATTTCCTTATTGTAGGTGCGAAATAGCACTGAAAATGCAAGAGGAAGAGCCTGTTTTACGGGACTGAAGAAAATGTTGAGGTTGTTTAAATAGCACTATAGCTCAATATTCTCCTTCTTGGGAAGCGGGGGGCAGGGCAGAGGTGGGAGAGAGAAACACAGCGATCCTCCTTTCTTCTTTTCCTGCCCTGGTGGAAAGCAGAAAGCTTCAGGAAAACTTCACAGCCTTTTTCCCCGGGAGCGGAGGGGCACACACAGCTGATCCTCTAGGAAGCTGCTCACAATTAAGACTCATTTTCTTTCTGCTGGAACAATTAATTGTACAAATGAAAGGTCAGGCATGTGCTTTGCCTATGTTTATCAACCACAATAATGAGCCCCTTCTATTTTTATCTCTTGCTGCATTATATTGCAGTAAACTGTTACCGCAGTTCTGTCTCTTTCAGTAATTGTCTTCAAAGGTGATTCTGTAAAGCTGAGAAGTGTGTATCCATTTCCAAAGCTTCCAATGGATGGGATGAGGGGTGTGAAGACCCCAGCCCCCCACACCCACACAGCAGCACAGCAGAGGCACAGGCTTTTGCCTGAAGTCCCTCCTGGTGCTCTGGCTACTGCGGCTCAGCCTGGCAGGCCCCCCTCTGCCCTGCCAACTCTTTGTCCCTTGTGGTCTTTGTCACTTTGTGCAGTGTTGGATGGACCCTATCCCTATTTCCAGGGCTCCAGACCACCTAAACACTTCCTTCCTATTGTAAATGCAATATCACCAAAGAGAAAGACTGGTAGCACCTCTCTCCCCAGCAGGGCTATCCTCAGTGGGAACACAGATGGTATTGATAAAGAACTTTGTTCCCATCCTGTTTGCTAGTTTGCGTGCAGCTTTCTGGGATATTTACCTATGTGTTATATTCTCCCTAACAAAAATCTGCTCACTGCTGACAGATTCAGTGGATGCATTTTTCACTAATTTGTCCTTGCTGAACAGAAACATCTCTACGCTCCTTAGACATGTGAGCTGAAGGAGCAGAAACTCTATGGGGACCTAGAAGGAAATTTCAGGAGCTTTGCGGAGTGCAGGAGAAGATTCTTATTTCTTTTGTTAAACTGTGTAATACATTGTGACTGAGTCCATTACATTTGTTTTAACTCATGTTGGCTTGAGATGCTCAGAAGATGTCTCAGAGGAATTGATCTCCACGAAACCCCCAGACATGGGTCTGTTTCTCTCTCCTTGGATAGAAATCACTCAATCTGCCCTGTTTCCTGGAACATCCAAACATACAGTGCTTTCTTGCACCTGGCAACTGTGAGCGCACCAGTGCTGTCCAATCCAGTATGAAGCTCCAAATGATGTCAGCTGACCTTTGAATCCAGCATTTCTACCATGACTAAGTGGAATAAAAACAACATCGGTCCACAAGTGGAGGGGAAGAAAGGTCTGGTGAACCAAGGATGCAGTGGGGCCCTTGGGAACATTGGTGGTTGACTCCACACTGAACACAGTGGCTGAGACTGAGATCCATCAGACCCGGAGCACTTGGGCCTGCATGAGGAGAGGTCAGCACTAGTGCTCAAGGTGTGTTTCGCTAATTGTCCAACAACTGCTCTGCACAGGAGCCATGGGATGAAAGGCCGCAGTGACCCTCACTTGGCTGGCAGTAGAACTTGCCGCTGCTCTGACAGGCCGCTCAGTGTTGTGCTGGTGGAATGCTGTTCTTCAAACACAGAGCAAAGGCTCAGCCTGAGTTTACTGGAGTTGCCCAAGACGGAGAAGGAAAACGTGACGGAATAAGCGCAGGCCCTTTCCACAGTGGGACAGAGTTCTCCAAGCACCCTGACACTTGCCGGCATCCCACCCGAGCCTGGCATCCTGCCTGTGCCCCCTGCCCGGCTCACACCCTCCCACCCACGCACAGACCTGGTCCCTCCGCGACACCTCCACGCGGGGCGAACATCGGCACAACTCCGCGCTCTGCCCCCCGGAGCTCGCTCACACGCCATCGCTTCCCAAACCCCAGCCGCGACCCTCCCTCTCAATCACCTCCGCCCCCCGCGCTGACAGCCGGGCAGGGCGCCGCACAAAAGGTCGAGGCCGCGCGGCGCGGCGCAGCCCTCCCCGCCCGGCCCTCCTCCGCCCCCCCGCCTCCCGCCCTCCTCCCGCTCCCGCCCCTCTCCGCCCTCTCGGCGGGAGCGGCGCCCTCACAGGCGGCCGCGCAGGGGGCCGGCCCGAGCCGAGCCGGGCCGCTCTGCCGCCGTGCCGCGGGCGGCCGCTGAGGGCGGTTGCTAACGGCCCTCGGGGGCGGCTGCAGCGGGCGGCGGGGCGGGCGGGGTGAGGGCCTCGTCCCGCCCCACGCACACGCGGCGCTCCCCGCGGCCGGGAGCTGCTGGATGTGCCGTGTGGGAGCCCCACGGCTTCTGCAGAGCCCTCGGCTCCGGTGCGAGCTGCCTTCCTGGCAGTCCCTCCCTCCTCAGGTGTCCGCGTGGTGCTGACCGCAGGCTGGGAGAGGTTTTAAGGCTGTCAACAGACACAAATCTCCTTTTCACGCTAGCAAAGCGTATACTGACGGATAACAGCCGTACGCTTCCCCGTGCTCACATCGGGGCGTGTAGGCTTCAGTATGGTAATCGCCAATTAACAGGGACCTGCAATCTTAATGACTGCTAAATGTTTGTAATTGGAACGTAATTTGTCTGTATGCTGACTCTGTATTTTTCAAATACTGCCGTTCAAAACTGACTTTCACATTTTATGGGATAAACTATTTTTTTTCCTGAGATGTTCTTGGCTAATGAAAAATTGAAAGCACTGTAAAGAAATACCCTTCGTATGCCAGCTCGTGTCATGTTATATTAAAAATAGATAAAAGAGGTATTGAATAGCTTAACAGGCCTTCTGAAATGATTAAACTCCATTTATTGGCGTAATAGAAATCTGATAATGTTGAAAAAACTTGTCCTTGAGGCAGAGTCTGCGACTGTTTCTTTATTTGGAAGGCAGTCAGTGCTTCATACAGGATTGCTGCTGAACGCTAATTAGACACCACACAACAAACACTTGGGGACATATTCCAGCACAAACTTGGGAGCCTGGTATGTTCAGAGTAAAGATAAATGTCATTACAAGGGAGAAACTGACACTGAGTGGAGTCTATGCCACTTTTTTTTTTTTTTGGAATTACTGTTTCTACAGAATCACTCAACAGATAACATCATGTTAGTAGTTACTAATGTATTCATCCACTTTCTTCAGTGCTAGGGATACCGCCTGCAACTGTTAAGGAAGCAGCTGGCTTTTTAATACAAATAAACCGGGCTCTGAGACTGTCAATCTTCTTTGTTTGACAGAGAGGAGTTCCCGCCTGCTCTGAAAGAATAGCTCAACATCTGTCATCCCATTCTCTGCCATGGCCCAAAATCAGGAAGACTACAGCTGTCCTGCTCCTTTCAGATACTTCTGGGATAGAGAGGTAGGAAGACTGAGTGTTTGGTCAGCCTGTTCATCACGCATTAAGCAAGGCTCTACAAGACCTTGCATGTAATTGTATTGTTTTCCCACTGCCTGAATAGCAGAATTTGCAGTTTAAAAGGTCCAATGTGCTCTCTCTCTCTCCCTCTCTCTCCTTTTTTTTTTTTTTTTTTAATTTGTCTAACTAGTTCAGTCTGAACTCACATTTGTTAATAGAGTGCATTTTAATTGAATTTAAAGTGGCTAGCAATAATTTATACCTAAGTGTGTGGCACATGGACATGTGAATTTCAGATTTATGCATGAGTGTAAAGCAGAAAATATTTATTCTTACAGGTTGGGAATTGTACTACAACTGCTGAGTGCTGGATGAAGATGAAAACAATAGAGGTACATTAGTGCATTCCTTCCAAGCCCCAAAATACTATCTTTTATGATACCTCTGTATGGAAAAGAGGGAAAGGAATGGGGAGGGAGGGAAGAGACTGGGAAGAATTTGTTATCACCTTAAAAAATGTTTAACCACAAACTTTTGTCAGTTCATTTTAATATCTAGCAAATTAGTAAATATACATCTATATATAAAATAGAAATTCAAGACAATTTTTTGAGTGAATTATACTATTTTCTTTCAGTAGCAGTCAAGTTAGTAGTCAATGGTAGATTGTGTGTTTCTTTTCTTACAGCCACAATTGAGAGCTGCTGCAATAAACATCAGAGTCCAAAACAGTGGCAATTACTTTAGGTATACACCTCTCCAACCTGCAGTTTAAACTTCACGGTCCCAAGATTTGGGGAAAGCATAATAAAGTGTAAAATGTTCAGAAGAATTTAGGCGTTGTGAAAACAGGAGAAGTTAGGCCTTTGGGATCCCTGTCATACCTATGGTGACAGTCAAGTTGTGGTTATGCGGTGATTCTGATTTGGCTGACATCCATGCTGCTGAAAGAACAGCTCAGCTGCACTGTCATGCTGTTACCTCCTACGTAGACTGAAATATGTTACATAATGTTTACTTGCTGATCTTTGGCACAGAAAAATGACAGCAAAAAGGCAGTTTCTCAACAAGGCTGGTCTTGATTCATCTAGGATTTTATAAATAAGAATAAATTAATTACATTTTTCCACACATGTACCCATATAATCCCAAGAAATTTATTTTTAGAAAGTGATAGAAAAATAGGTTTAGATTCACAGACTCTATTGCAGAATGCAGAAGCAAAAAACACCAGAAATATGAAAATCTGCACTGAAGAAGAGAATCATGCATGATGAGATCCACCCATACCCTTCAGTCTCTCTGGATCAGGAACAGAAGAAAACACCTTCTGTTTAATCATCTTCTTTCCACATACCTGCCAAACTTTTTTTGTTTTGTGGCCTGTGTGGAGTGAAGTTCTTGTCTTCATCAAGCCCCTTGATTTTTGGAGATGGCAACCAATCTGGTACCTGCCAAGGCATATAAGAGTTTCTGCTCCTCTGTCTTCAGAGCATTGGATCTAATATCCAGAGCATCAGGGGAAGTTTTTAGTCAAAAGAAATGTAATTTAAGGGAAGGATGGGGATTCATTACATTGCCCAAAGACAGGAAGCACATCTGCTTGTTTCTGCTGGGGAAGAAACTTGGAAGTGGGTTAGTTGTTGTCCCTCTCTCATTCATTGGAAAAGGAAGTTAGCAGTCAAAATAAATCAACTCTGGCCTGTAAATTCCATTTTCAACAGGAATATCCCTATAAGTTTTCTTTAGATCACAGTGTACAGAAATATCCCTGGGCTTTGGAACAGAAGGCAAAAAAAAAAAAAAAAAAAAAAAAAAAAAACTATTGCTAGTTCTACACAGCCTATGTGTATTTGGTTTTGCTACATGTCCTTTTAATGAGACCTGAAATTTTCAAAAGAGCATTTTGTTCTCAAATCTGGAAGAATACCAAATATTTTGACACCATACAATTACAAGAATTATCAATATTGTAACATGTCCTGGGGGTATTATGACTGAATACCTCCCCAAAATCCTTCCAGAAGGCAGATCCTAAAAGTTAATAAGCTTAGAAAGAGTTTAATGAGGCACTGAAGCAATTCAGGGCATTTGTCTTTGTTCTGAGAAAAGGAGTCACACTTATATTCTTTATTATGGAGTGTAGCTTGTGTTTTGGATTGACAAACTTCAAAGGGAAGTTGGATTAACTTAAGTGAAATAGAGACAAATTTTCAACCTTAACTGACCTGACCGAGATTATATTGTCAAACAACTACCAGAAAAATTTCTTCCACTGTTAAAGTGAGAAACAACACTACTATTTGTTACATCAAGATCCTTTAATACAGTGTTAAATTTGCATAACAGATATAAAAATTACAGAATTTATGTAACAAAGCAAGCAGAACTGTTAACATGGTTATCCCAATCTACACACAAGTAACTCTGAAATGCCTGATACAGGGAAAACTGTCTCATGAATTCCTGGCATAGATCCCAGAGTATATGTACTGGTTTCTTAGTTCAAAAAGGACAGGGATGTCTTAGAAGGAGTTCAGTGGAGGGTCACAAAGATGACTAAGGATCTGGGGCATCTCTCATATGAGGAAAGGCTGGGTCTGTTAAGCCTGGAGAAAAGGAGACTGAGAGGGGATTTGATCAACATTTATAAATATCTTGAGGGAGGTGGGAGGCAAATGGATGAGTCCAGACTGTTCTTGGTGGTGTGTAGCAATAGGACAAGGAGTAATGGCCTAAAACTTGAATGTAGGAAGTTCCATTCAAACATGCAGAAGAACTTCTTTATGGTGAGGGTGATGGAGCACTGGAATTGGGTGCCCAGAGGAGTTGTGGAGTCTCCTTCTATGGAAATATTCAAGACCTGACTGGATGCCCACCTGTGTGACCTATTGTAGACTACCTGCTTTAGCAGAGCGGTTGGACTTGGTGATCTCTTGAAGTCCCTTCCAACTCCGGCAATTCTGTGATTCTAAGTCTTTTGCATTCATACCATCCCACAGCTGTACAATTACCCTACAGAGCTTATTCCAGCAGATTACCTCTTGCTGTCTCAGTGATCCCAATGAGACTTTATCATCCCAAAGACTGCAGAACTCACCCACTGAGTTGTTCCAATCAGTTTCCAGGTCCTTTTGCTCCATACTAAAATGTAGATAGGAGTCTACTTCAGGCTATGAATCATTTTGTCTCAGGTGAAGACATTGTGATTGTCCCTGATTTCTAGACTGTGTTTGTACTTTTTTGCTCCACTTAACTTAGCTAATGGTTAAATTGTTGTCTGAACAAGATGGAAATTTATTTGTTGTGTAAAGAAGAGCCCTTGAGTCCGAAGATTATTTTTGAGCCTAGGTCTTTTATGGAAAAGAAATTAATCGAATGCTAAATAAATATATTGTTAATGTATTGGTAATTCTCAGCTTTCACAGAAAACATTTCTGCTGGAGACGGTGATCAGCCAAGTACCACCTTTAGAGATATGCATTATGGATGGTTGCACAGGTCACCAAAATGCAGTGCGAGAATGTTGTGCTGTCCTGCCAGTGCTTCTAATTCAGTTCCTCATTGGTCTCTTGCTTGGAGCTTTGATAACTGATGTGACAAACTGTATAACGGAAAGTCATACTGAACAATATTGTACACTCTGGCCTACTATTACTTCTGGCTTTTTATATTTATATTATTATTACTACTTCTGGCGTCATTAGAGCATCAACAGGCTACTGAGAACTAGAGTACAGTAGCGATAACTGCCAAGTCATTGCTCATTCATTCACAGGCTGCCTCTCTATGTAGGCAATAAATGCATCCTGGTGCAAAACTTGAATATTTCTTACAGTAGAATCAGGTTATAAAATAGGATGAGAAGCACTAAGTAGCCAAATATAAAGCACAGCCAGGTGTAATGGAACCTGCCACACACACATGTGCACAGCTTGTAGTTTTGGAGTATAAATCATTTTGTCTTTGATTGTCAAAGGGATATGAGTTATAACATGAAAAACAAGGAGATGGTAACAGTCAGAATTCAACCAGGAAATAAGAGCACAGGGAGGTACTAGGAGAAAGACACTAATGGCACAAAATCCTCTCAAGGTTTGTCACAACATTTCACAATTGCAAAGCAAAACAACTGCAAAATCTCCTGGTAGGATGTCACATGCTGTATGGGAACTGTTGAATCATGGCCTGCACCTCTGATTGATCACCTGAGGAGAGCACTGAGTCAGCCATGGGAGCACAGATGAAGGCAATTCACCTGTGCTGCTGAAAGGGGTGGAGCCTGGCCTGGACCCCATTTAAGGGCTGACTGCCACAGAGGTAGGATCTTTCTCTGGATATTGCTCCTTGTGGGGTTTTTGTGAGCCTACAACACCAGTGAGTACTTTTCATTGATCTCTGATTAGATTTTCTTGACCTGATAATCGTACCAGCCAAACTTCTCTGTATACTTATTGCTCATACAATACTATATAGCATCTGTATGTTTATTGATCTTACACATGTATTCTTGTAGTGGGTTTGTAATAAGCTCAGCAACTACAGTTGCAGCTGACCTTGTTTTATCCTGACTTGTAGAAGGCGGTGGTGTGATTCACAAAATGTCAGTGATGCCAAAGAGCCATCCTGGGCATTCCCTTCTCAAGCAATGAGCCGAGGTGGTTCAACATCATAGGCTAGAATCTGCTGAAATATAATTAAAAAGCAAGATACTGCTGTAAGTAAAATTCAAATAGACAAAAAGAGAAAGCAAACTCTCTGGGTGAAAATAGCTGAATGTTATGGTGGATAAAAGGACTTTCCCAGAATCCTAATGCTCACAGTGACCTCTTGTCTATCCCTGTTGTAGTCTCAGACTTCTCAAGTGATTCAAGCAGGTGTTATGTAAGTGGCCACTTGCTGTGTGTTCCTTATTTTGAGTGCACATCTTAGATGCTCGAGACTGAGTCACAGAAGTGCTGAGTGTTCACAGATGCTGCTGAAATCAATGGGATTTGTGCATTAAATGTATGAAGTACCATAAAAATGCTAAGTATCTTGCAAAATCTGGCTCTAAGCACATCATATTGAGGACCCAAATTAGTGGACATGTTCATTAATCTTGACCATAACGGCTCAATACTTCAGTTCCCCATCTGTAAAGTGAGTCTAATAGTACACACTCACTTTGCAGGTTTAAAGATAAATTAATTAGTGTTTGGGAAGCACTCAGAAACCCAGCAGAAAATGCTGTAGAAACACCCATAAAGATATTAATAATTCAGTATTCTGCACAGGGTTTGAATGATGTGCAGTAAGGAAGGCATGGAGCCACATATTGAGTGATAAGAATAAAAAGAATATTGAACAGCTGCTCACTCAGGGAGCATCGTCCATCCTATGCACTGAATGATGTATGTGTCTGTGCAGTTAAAGACTTATTATCATGCGTATGTGCAATGAGCACAAATTAAAGTTTCGAAGGCAATGGATTGTTCCGAAGTTTAGACAGCTTAAATCTGCAACAAGAACATACATTCAACATTTATTTATTTATTGTGATCATCTCTATTTCTGTGTTTCTATCCTGGAAGATACAGAAGGTTTTCTGTGTTGGTGAACTCAGTGATTAATTACATGATACAGCCACATGGCCAAGTTCACTGTGGGAACAAATATATTGATTTCCAGGGGTGAATTTGGTTCACATCTTTGTTTAATGTAGTTTCACAGTAGATGCTGGTTAGAAGTGGGACAGTAAATGTTTTGCAGGGACAGAGTAACAACCTCATCTTTTGGCCTTACTTTGTGTCAGGGTTTTGGTGGTTAATGTAGTGTTTGGAGA